TCACTTGCACCGCTTCTCGCTGGCTCCGCTGATTTTACAGCCGGTTTCCTCAGGGTTCGTGTAGCAAAGCTGGCGTTTCCTAAAATGAAACTGGCAAAAGAATAAAACAGCCCCGGGTGGGATGTAGTCAGAGGATATGGTTGTCGTTTCTGGGCATAACAGGCGTCTCTGCAGGCCCCCAGAGAACTGGCGGGCACCGGGGAGGTGTCCGGGGTGTCCTGGAAGGCCCCGGGCTAAGCCACACACGGCCCGAAGGCCTCCTGGTGGCGAGGAAACAGGCGCACTGCTCCCCGCCTTAGTTTCCCACCGAGGAGCGCACCCCCGCGGGTCCTACCTGCTGCGTTGGCGTTACTGTCCCCCACCCTGGGGCCGCCCTGGATGTCAGGGCTCAGAGAGGTGCGCAGTGTCGCTCTTCTTACCAACTCTGCCAGACGGTCATCATTCACATCGCACGAGGAGAAAACGAGGCTCCGTGGTCCCCTCATATCCTCATACCCCATTATCCTGCGGGGGATATGTTCCAAGACCCCGTGGATGTCTGAAAGCAGGCTAGGGTTGAACCCTATATATATTTTTCCTATCCAAACCTATGATAAAGCTTAATAAATTGGGCACATTGAGATTAATAACTAATAAGACAAAACAACAGACTATAATAAAAGTTATGTGAATGTGATCTCTCTCTCTTTGGACATATCTTACTGTCCTGTGCCACAGCATGGATGTGCTGGACAAAGGGATGGCTCCTGTTCTGGCAGGAGGGAGCAGGACAGCAGATTTCATCCAGCTACTGGGAACAGGCACAACTGAAAACCTACGATTTGTTCATTTCTGGGATTTTTCCATGTAATATTTTCAGACCGTGGTTGGCCTCTGATGACTGAAACCACAGGAAGTGGAAATCCAATGACTGAAAGGGGAGGACTTCCTGTCCCGTCAGTATTGGGCGTTTTGTTCCAGTCTCACAGCCAGTATGCATGAGGGATTCAGTGAAGCCTGGCACAAAGCCAGCTTTACCTCAACACTGTGGAATGGAAAACCTTCGAACATACAGAAAAAGCTGAATTTTACTATCACCGTGGGCTTACACCTGCCGCTCAGATTGTAACATCTAACTACAGTTGATTTATGACCTCTCCAACTACCCATCTCTGTATCAATTCATCAGTTCACCTTATTGCCAAGTGATTATCCAAAGACTCTTTACCAGAAAGGCTGAGGCCTTGATTAGGTTCTGGAAGGGGAGATGTCCTTCTATCTCCCTCAGGGATGCTAAGAAAAGCCACAACACTGAGCATGTCACATCTGCTTTGCTGAAACCCTGCAAAATTCCATAAATCTGAAATTTACTGTCAATCCTGTAAGATGATCAATTCCAAATAGGATTTTTAAAAATCATAAAGCTAGGGGAAAGCCCCCATTTTTAGTAAAACAAACTCCAAACTGATTCCACATTTTAACTTCTAATTCAGTGGTTCTCAACCTTCCTAATGCCGCGACCCTTTAACACAGTTCCTCATGTTGTGGTGACCCCCCCCCCCCCAACCATAAAATTATTTTCGTTGCTATTTCATAACTGTAATTTTGCTACTGTTATGAATCGTAAATATCTTGATATGCAGGATGTATTTTCATTGTTACAAATTGAACATAATTAAAGCATAGTGATTAATCACAAAAACAATATGTAATTATATGTGTGTTTTCCGTTGGTTTTAGGCGACCCCTGTGAAAGGGTCGATGGACCCCCAAAGGGGTCGGACCCACAGGTAGAGAACCGATGTTAACTGAAGATGTGCTGATGACCACTCCTTGGGGCCCCTGGCTCTTCCTGGCCGAGGACTCTCAGTAGCGCCGGCCTCCCGGGGACATAGTTTGTGGGACCCCTGAATGTGAGGACAGGAAGAAACATAAATAGGATCTTTTATTTTCTTGGACTCCCCCCTCCCCCGCCCCGCCCCCCTGCAAACAACAACTACCAGAAAGGACCTGAGGCTCAGTTATGTAAAACCTGAGAGCCCTGGGGAGCTCATCCTGGGGCGGGCCGGAG